GGCTTTTTTGTAACAGCTAGTAAGATTCACTACGTAATGTAAATTTCCCTCCTGAGTTTCCCAACCCACATTCCAAACCACTGTTGAAGTGAGAAAATTCACACGGCACAATTACATATTGTGATAGCTGCATCAGAAGAGACATGGCACTGTGTGTGTGTGTGTGTTACTGTTTATATGGTTGCTTGCCAAAGATGTGGCTTTGAACCTCTGAGCACAAACATCAACATTAATTTTGAGAGGAGCATGTTAACCCACTCCCGATGATAGATAATAAACTATAATACGGCAATAGGGGACATACTAGACACCAGGTAAGCTGCAAAAAAGGTACATACTGAGAGCTCAGTAAGCAGACAATTGCATTGTTAGGGGTGAAGGTCAGCTTGGCAGAGACAATTTTCTACTTACAACCTCCACTGATTTTGGAATGTCTGATTCTGTCAATGGAACTCAAGAGAGAATGTTGGGGGAGGGGAGGGGTTAAAGAGGAAGTCAGAAGAGGAAAAACAAGCTTCCTGCCAATTTCCACTATCATCACAATTGGCTCTCCACCTCAAAAATCGTCAAGCAACTCAGATGGATGTCTACTGCGGCAACCCCTGGCTCCCCCCCCCCCCCAGCATATTTTAGAAACCAACTTAGAAAGAAGAAAGAGTATCAGTGAAATGGTGCAAGAACAGTCAGATGGCTACTTCAGAGCACCAATGAAGTTCACAGCATTAAAAACACACAAAAAAGGAACTATCAACCCACTTTATTTAAACAGCCACATTTCTACATCTTGTAATTCAAATTAAAATATGCCATTAAGCATATTCATCATGATCTTCTTGGGTTTCTTCAAATTCCCGAGCAGCGCCAGGCATTCCCCACTAGTTGTGAACAATGTTGCTTCTTATCTGCATATCATCAGCAGTAAGCAATAAGACCTGCAGCAGCAGCTGGTATTTCCAGGAGGCTGGAGAAGAGGCTTACTATCCTTGACCTCTCCAACATTTGCCTGTTGCTGCTGTCAGCCTCCTCTGGAGGAGAGGTGTAGAAGCCCGCTGTATGTCACCTAGCCCTATCCTCTGAAATATATTTAAGCCAGGCTCCTTGGAGTGCAGCAAGGCCAATACCAGAAATTTCAATGTGGAAAGGTGGCATATAAGTAAATTCAGTCCATCAGTCAAATCAGTCAACCTAGATTGAGTGTCTTGGTCTCTTGGTTATGCTGACATGAGACACTAGAGTGTGATGAAATGCTGGGAACTGGTTTTCATATATATGTTAATTTAATTTAAGGAATTAATAGTAGAAAAATGGATCTGATGTGGACCAGGAATCCATCTATAAGCGTCCTCCATGTCAGAGTTCATCATACTTAGTCAACTTCCTATAACACATACCTGAGAGACACTGAGTTGGTTGAGACCAATAGTAACTATTGGTACAGTAACTATCACACACATCCAAATTACAAGGAGCTGAATCAGCTGTGCTGGGGATCAATGTTATTGGAATGGCTGATAGATCTAATCTTGCCAGCACAGAAAACTGTCTGCCCACCCCCACCGCCATTATCCGAGGACAATCCATCACCTAAGTCAATGCTGCTTCTGCAGCCTGAAGTGGATTGGAATGTTCTAGTGAGTTTTGTGATCTTCAAATATCTCCAGAGCTGCTCTGTTACCACAATTTCTCAGAAGGGAAGTTTGAAACTAAGGAATGAAACGAAGTCGGCAGTACGAAGGACTAATGTCTTAAATACTTAAGCAAAACCACCAAACACCTCTTCCATCACTGCAAAGAAGGGTTCAATAGTAGCATGGGCATAATTTAACCATATATGGTTTCCAAAACCAAAGTGTAGGAAGATCTCATTGGTATTTCTCAGGAAGAAAGAGCTGAGCGCAGAAAGAGTGGTTGATGCCAAGATTTGGCCTTCAGAATCTCTTCCCGCTGCCTCCCCCATGTGTGTTAACCCATGTCAGTTTTATGAGGGGTGATGAACCTGACAACCCTTGCCACTCTAGGTCCTTCTCACAGAATGGAAAATGATATTTGGCCAGGAGAGTTCATATCCATCTCATTTTTAAAAATGATTGCAAGAATCATTTTAAAATTATCGTCATCATTACAACAGTTCTAAAATCTGAACACTTTGCATCAAATAAAAGGAAGTACGGTTCATCTCTGCTCACTCACGATCTAATTTTAAAAAGAAAGAAAGACAAATCAGAGAAGGGGAAGAGGAGGGCAGTGGAAGAGGAGCTAATCAGGATAGAATGACCCAAGTATAAACTAGAGCTGGAATTGGCAAATGCCCTCTACTGCAACTTTTTCTAGGCCCAGAAGCACAATGCTACCTTTTTTCACCTTGGCCTGCTGAATCTATATTGTAGGTGGAAATCCAATGTCATCATATTAGTGATGACATCAGATTGCGATTTATACCACAGGGCATCCCTGAGCAAATATAAAGCAAGGCTGGTAGAGGTGATTTCATATGGAGAAGGGGGGTGGATATTGAGCGTGTCCGCCCTCCCCACTCCCCACCCACAACTGGTTCTCTTCTGTTAAAGCTCTGAAACTCCAGCAGGGGAGAAAAGGTGAAGGAGCTAGGATTGGGCTGCAGGAGCAGGAAGATCTCAGCCTCCCTACATGTCCTTCCCTGCTTTACACTGGTTCAGATGGGAGAAGGTTCTCTGCTTTGGAAATGAAAACGACACAAGTATGACATCATAACTGTGTGGAGCCCCCCTTCATTTTTGTGGGTGATCCCTTTGCAGAGGGAGCAGTCACCAAACCTGGCACTACACAATCAGCTTAGCTTAGCTTAGCTTAGTTTTTCCTAATCATTACATAAAGTAGACACTGGACATCTGCTCCATTCCTTGTTTGGGTGCTTGTCAGCTTTTCCCTTCTAATCATGATCTATCAGCCTGAATGTCCTTTTGGCTGAGATCCTATCCTCTGTCAAGGACTGCCTGAGCTAGAGAGCACTGGGCTGGTGGCCTTTATTATTAATAAACAATAATGTTTTTGTTTTTGTTTTATTATGTATCTTTATGTTCTCAACTGCCTTGCAATCTTCAGATGAAAGGCGGCATGCAAATCAAACAAACAAAATCTGTGCACAGAGCTAGAGATTAACAGAGCCCAAGGCCTTTCTGGGCCATAAACAGGCAGAGAAGGAGCAGTGAACAGGGTCCAAGTTATTCTCCATCCTGTCCCCTATTTCAGGATCAGAGCACATGAGAAGCTGCCTTATATTGGGTCAAGCTTATTTGCCTATCTAGTCCCGTACGGTCAACTCAGACTGACCTCAGACACTGAGGTCTTTACACCATCTGCTGACTAGAAATGCCAGTTTGAACCCTGGATCATCTGCATGTACTGTACCACTGATCTATGGACCCTTCCTGAACCACAGCTCAGTAATACAATATGACAAGATTCCCTAACAGAAATTTTGAGAAGGTGTCAGATCCCATTCATAAAGAGCTCGGCTTCACTGGGACTGGCATGCAATCTGCATGGAGGCTCCTCATATACCTACTGTAAAAAGGGGCTGTAACTCTGAGCCTCAACAATATCAGCATTGTATCAAATGGAGAGGTTGGTGCCACAAGGTTTTATCCATGTTGGAAGGGCGACATGTGCAGCCTCTACAGGATGAGAGAACATGTTGTAAGGTCAACATTCTGAATGCCATCGTTCACTAGAAAGTATGTTTGTAAGAGACACAGTCATGTCTGCCTGCCCAGCAGTGGCGTAGTGTGGGGGGGGGACCATGGGGGCTGTGGCCCCAGGTGCACAATCTGGGGGACGCGAACCAGGTCAGTCCTGAGCTGAGGAAGGAGCGTGGCTGCAGTGTGTACAGCCATGGCTTCAAACCTGACCTGGGGTAGTAGAGAGGCTGTGGCGTGCAAGAAAGCTCCTGCTTCCTCACAGTTGGCCGGCAGCTCCAGCAGACAGAGGAGAGTGGGTGGCAATGCTGCCTCCCACTCTCCTGGACTGGGGCGCATGAGTGCGCCCTTGCGCCGGTGCCGCAGCAGACTCCATCTGTGCCCTGCAAGCCCGACCCAGACGCTATTTAGATACGCTCCATCACTGCTTCCCTGACTAAATATTTATTTCACGTGGAAAGCCAAAAGCTGCAAAAATCTGAAGGAGATGAAGGCTGCATATCACCTTCACTTGTAGCAAAGAAAGGAGGCAGTCCCAATTCATTTTCTGGTTCCTGCCTTGTCGTTGCAGTGTGGGGACACTGGGATTGCAATGCGCCCTAATAATAATAATAATTTTATTATTTATACTCTGCTCCTGTTGCTGGGTTGCTTCCAACACATATACAGTGGTACCTCAGGTTACATATGCTTCAGGTTACATACGCTTCAGGTTACAGACTCCATTAACCCAGAAATACTGCTTCGGGTTAAGAACTTTGCTTCAGGATGAGAACAGAAATTGTGCTCCGGCAGCGCGGGGGAGGCCCCTTTAGCTAAAGTGGTGCTTCAGGTTAAGAACGCTTTCAGGTTAAGAACGGACCTCCGGAACAAATTAAGTACTTAACCCGAGGTACCACTGTAAAAACATAATAAAACATCAAACATTAAAAACCTCCCGATACAGGGCTTCCTTCAGGTGTCTTCTAAAAGTTTTGTAGTTCTTTATCTCCTTAACATCTGCTGGGAGGACATTCAGCTGCCAAGAAGGCCCTCTGCCTGGTTCCCTGTAATTTCACTTCTCACAGTGAGGGAACTGTGTTATGGGCCACATAAGATTAGATAGTGGGACAGAAGTAGGTTGGCAACTCCTGGTGTGGAGAGAGTTTTGTCCCCTCCCACTCGAACTTGGGTCACCCGTTGACACTGATTGGCAGCAGATTCTGGACAGACAAAAAAAAAAGAGCATAACTAAGTATGGAATTCACTGCCACAAGATGTGATAATGATCAATAGATCAGAAGAGGATTAGACATTCTTTCCTCCCCGGGATCCTCGTACAGCACAATGGGCAAGTGTAGCGAGCGTCATACTACCAGGAAGTTGCACAGTCACCCACGTGATCAGAAGTGGCATGACAAACAATACAAGAACTCCCACCTTGGTGCTGCTTTGAAAGCCAACCCTTTTGGGAGAGCTTCCAACGCCAAAGCAATTGTCCTGGGAAAAGTTGGCATGGAGGCTAAGCAGCCAAATTCTGCCATCAGGAAGAATGTCCGAGTTCAGCTGACCAAGAATGGCAAAACAGCATTTGTTCCTATTGATGGTTTTTTGAACTTCATTGAGGAGAACAATGAAGTTCTGGTTGCTGGCTTTGGTTGGAAAGGTCATACTGTTGGTGACATTCCAGGAGTTCATTTCAAGGCTGTCAAAGTAGCAAATGTTTCTCTGTCAGTCTTGTACAAAGGCAAAAAAGAGAGACCCTGGTCGTAAAGTTACGTTGTTATTAAGATGATCAAGAAAGTTTTCTTCTACAAAAAGAAAGAGAGAATTAGACATATCCATAGGGGATGGTGTATCAGCAGCTATAACTCACGATGCCAGATTACCACTAGAAGACAAAAAGGAGATGTAGATGTTGACGTGTTTTAATTTCTTTTACTGTAAATTCTAATTATCTTTAAATGCTTTTTATTGTCTTTTATTTTTATTTATTTCTTATTTATAATGTTCTTATTTCTTAGAAACTGCTTAGAGGTTTTACCAAAATCAAGTGGTATGTAAAATTTGTTGAACAATTTAAAAAAGAGAGCAAGCCATGGCAATTTATTGCCTTCTTCTCTTGATGAAGGACCTACAGAAGCATCTGGCTGGCCCTGTGAAAAAGAGGATTCTAGGCTGGCCTAGACAGACCTTTTCTTCCAAAATCCCTCTACTGTGAGGGAGTTTTGTGCCTCAACCCTTGCTTTGTTATAATGCCAGTGCTAATTGTGACCATTTTTCGAATTCGGTTCTGTCTACATTGGGCAAGGTACTAACTATATTACTTTGTGGTTGTGCTTTTTAAGGTCAAGGTACAAAGACACAGCTGGAACTTTTGTTGGGTCAAATCTCGTCAAATCTTGCCATCAGTTCCCTGTTTCCTAAATATGTTAAAAATAAAATCTCTTAGGTGGAAATAATGAAAACATTTGATTTTTTGTTGTTCTTTTCTTTTCTTTTACTTCCACACAATATCCCTTTTGTGTGATAATTGTTAAACCCTGAAAAACCATATTTAAGTCAATTTCCCTATTAAAAATTAATAGAAGAGAGGTCAACATTGAGACAGAAGGACTCACAAACTATTCCAGATTGCTCCATCCAGCTAACATTACTATGGCAATAGGTCATCATTTAAATCAGATGATACCAATTTATACAACTGTAGAACCAGGATAAGAGTTCAATTGACAGCACATTCTAATAGTTTTCAGGAGAAAAAAATCCTTAATTATATTAGTTTATAGCAACTAAGAGATTATTTTAAAATGTGTGCTATAATATAGAGAGGAATTGAAAGGAGCAGGAATGGCTCATCTAGTGGGGTAAGGCATCTGTTCAGGTTTCTGACAATTTATCTCAATGGTCTAATGGTGTGTTTATGAAATGTTGGTCTCTTAGAGTTCAAAAAATTACCTCCAAAATTAAGCATTGCAAGTATAAAATAGAAATTTCTATTCTATGTAATCAAGTGCATTTTGGGCATCTAAAAACATTAAAGCTGACTCATTTATTATTTTTATTGCACTTATTGATTATAGCAAGCACCTTCTGGTATTAGCTGACCACCACCACACCACCCCCGGTCAAGAAAGCTAGCCCCATCATAATGGCTATTTTCCTAGTCTCACTAACTATAGGGAATTGTAGTGAAAGCGTTATAATCTTGATTGGTACAATACTATAACCGAGTTGGTAAACTGTTAAGTCTCCCTTCTTTCTCACTTCATTCATATAAATTTTGAAATAACTTTAATTTTTTTAAAAGCATTTTATCCTGCTCTTTAGCTGAAAAGACTCTGAGATCATTTTACAAAAATCAGTAGTAGGCAAGTCCCTGCTCTCTGCAGAGGTGCCAAGTTCCACCCAACATGTGTGTGTGATGTCACATGTGTTGTGACGTGCATTGTGAGGCCCGGCTCCTCAGGTTTGGGGGTGCTTAGCCCCACTGCAACAGACTGGGGTGGGGGGCTGAAGACACACCAGCCCTATAGAGTTGGTGCCTATGGCTCTCAGGCTTATAATGCAAAAGAGATGACACACAAGGAAAAGGGGAATGGAGAGAGAAAGGAACTAGGAAAGCAAGCTCTGCTGGCACCATTTTTAAAGTTGCATTTCTTAGAATGATCCACAAAGATTGAAATTGTTCAGCTATTCTGTTTAAAAGGTTGTTTTGTGCCATGTTTTCATGCCTTTACCAGCACCCCCTCAAGCTTGGAGGGGGGCCAGAGGAAAAGGAGACATCACTCGGGGAGTCAGCGTTGTCCGCTCCAGGACCTTCTGTCCTGTCCTGGTTTCAGCTTGAAGAGCCCACAGCACAAAGACAGTTGTTCACAGTAGCAGCACTGATGGGTTGCAGCCTGGAATCCCTTGAGGCTTAACTGAATGATCAGTCTAACCCCAGAATGCTTAGAGTTAGACAGCAACCACACACTTGAGAGACCTGACAAAGAAAGAATATTTGTGACTGCCCGACTCTTGTTGCAGGGTTGCAGGTCCACAGAGAACTTTTTCAGAGCAGTTCCACAGCCACCTCCTTTCAGGACAGTTTCATCTTGTTGAGACATTCACTGTCTCCTGGACCTAGGTGGTCAATCACTCCTGCTTGATGTTGTGAGCCACAAGGGTCAAAGGTCAAGCATATGGGTGATGGGGTACACCTCACATTATACTTTGCCCACAACCATCTGAAAATATTCTCAAAGGGTTCTCACAAAGCCCCCTGATTAGCTTCTATCAAGTTCGCCATCTCTGCTTAACACCATCAACCTAAACCTCCAAAGGAAGTGATCTGAGCAAGACAAGGGAGTCAAGAAAACATCCCCTACAACCAGACCTCTGAATCAGCTCACCATGACCATCTTGGGACCTTACGCTCTGCTTATGAGCTTCAAGAGGCACTCGGCAGCGCCACTGATGGAACGCTGGGCTACATGAACCTATAGCAAGGCAAGACACAGCAATCTCTCATCATTAAATTTATTAGTTAAGAAAAACTTATCTTGTCCTTCCACAGTAGTTACTATGCTCAAGCTGATTGACCACAATTTCAAAACAATTTCTCTGCCCATTTGCACTGTGTGTAGTTGATTTTTAATGGTTTTTAATTTCTGGATTGTATTTGTATGTGTGTATGTTTAAGTAAGTTTGTGGATGGCTTAGTAAATGGTTGATGGGTAGTACAATAATGTAAGAAATAAATAAAAACTACAAATAACTAATAAAAATTAACAATGCAATGAAACTGAGCCAGATACAGCAGGTAAGCAATTGAAAAGCTATAGGTCAGTGAATTAAAACACTTCAGTCCCAGAGATCAGATTCCTGGCAGAATAAAAATGTCTTTATCAAACAGCAGATGGCAGAGAGAGAGGTGTGGCCCAATGAGCTTTCCAAAGGAAGGGGTTCTAGAGTTCATCCTGTAGTCATTGTCACCTTATCTGTCTACCACTTTCTGTAAGCATTGCATTCAAAGTGGTTCACAGCCAGGCTAGCCAGGCTTCCTGCTGAGATGCAGAGTGGAGACCACCCCCCAGCAGATTATTTACCGTATGTCTTATTATTATTTATTAAATTTAGATACCACCCAAAGACCACAGAGCAGTTTACAACATAAAAATACAAAATAACACACACATAGATACGTTAACACAATGACGCCTGACGAGTACGGTAAGTCCTAATGGAACAATGAAAGGGGTGCATAGTTACAAAAACATTTATATATTTTAACAGCTTTGAAAAATAGCACAGCATAAAGATGACTTGTTTTCAAGTTTTTCAGATATTTTCTAATTTGGAATAAAATCTTGTAAAAAACCACACACATCTTCGCAGTTAATCGCATGAGCTGTGAACTAGGGAGTTCTCAGTTTAGCCATGAACTCACAAGCTGTATTCCCATTTCATGGTAAGTCATGGCTAATGGTTTACCATGAATGCTCAGACTGCTTCTACTATGGGGCGCACTCCTCACTAGCAAGGGGGGAGGCAATAAACAGCAAATGTTGGCTTAGTGTTGCATCTGAAGTGAGGGTCATGGTTTGTTTTGCTAAAACAAATCATAGGATCTGAAGCCAAGGTTTGTTCTTGGCTTACCAACTATCAGTTTTACTTGTTGTTTCTAATTTTGGAGCCAAAGCAAGGTTCTTGTAAAAGCTATTCCAAGTATATGAATACCATGAACAATGAGGGAAAATGCTGTAAAACTCACACCCACTCCTCCCAAAATGTATTCTCATTTGTCTTGCCTTTTCCCTCTCATAATACCGGAATCCCCATTATAGCTCTAACAATCACGCTCTCTCTCAGCTCAACCCATAAAAGCATGAAAAGCAACCTTGACTGGATCATCTTGGCTTGTGCTGTGATTCCCCCCTATTTTCCTGCTAAAATGTTGAGCTCCTTGCTCAGAAAGGTGTAACATGAACCTCCCAGGAGGCCAGACACTTTGCAGTCCAATTAGGTTAGCCTGTTCCCCTTTCAAGCCTGCTGCTCTTTGTTTGAAGACCACTTGGCTGTTCACTTGCAATGTGCCATCAGCAGTACCATCCGTTTCTATGAATACAGAGAGCTGCTTTGCACTGAGTCAGACAGTTGATCCACACAGCCCAGTATTTGTCTATCCTGACATTCAGCGGCAGGCCTCTACCTGAGAGTTTTTAAAGGGGTGATGCTCTGGCTTGAACCTGGCCAGCATCTTTTCTGCTGCTTCCCAAGTGGAACAAATTCCTTCAGCCTGGAGCTCAATTGTCATCTGTATGTTGTTGCAATTTCAAATAGCTGCACCCAAAGAAGACTTCAGCTAATTAGATGGTGAGGCTTCTGATATGTTTAACATTAGTTTGCTCAAATAAGAGTGATCTGTTGACTTGTGCTATGCTTTGAAAAATGTACCAATAACCTTGAAGAGCTGCTGCAAGTGGGTGGACTGCAGGTGGTTCTGGCTAAGATGGGTCTGTGCCCTGACTGCCCACAGTGTCTTCACACATTCATCAAAAAATGGTCACAGTGGTTTTACATAGCAGGGGAGCCAGTTGAATACTCTTCAGACAAAGGGCAGCTGGCTTGAAAGGGGAGTGAGCTAACATAATTGGATTGCAAACTGTCTGGCCTTGTGGGAGGGATCAGGTGAGATACTACAGTCAGGGTAGCCCCTGGAGGGCTGGGGTGATGCTTTGCACAGAGTCAACAGGTCATTGTGTGACACAAACCAATTATAGATAGCCGAT